TTCATAATCATATCCCAGGAGCTTTGCTACCCATTTTTGCTGCTCAAGTGTGGTCATGCTTTGCTCTAAGAAATACTTGAGATTGCGTTGATAAGTCTGAATAAAGAATTTCTTTCACAATAAATACAAGCTCCACATGTGTATAGCTTCAACAATAGAAAGCATTTCTTCGGCATAGGTAGACCATGATTTCTTAGATACCCCGAGAGCTCTGCTCATAAAAGCAATTGTTTTGCCTTGTTGAGTGAGAATTGTACCTATTCCTTCTCCTGATGCATCTGTTTCAATAGTGAAATCTTCCTTAAAATTAGGCATAGCAAGTGTTGGGATGGTAGTCATTGCTTGTTTGAGAGCAGTGAAAGTAGCTTGAGCCTCTTTATTCCATCCAAATTGTCCTTTCTTGAGAAGATTAGTTAGAGGGCGAGCTAAGATGCCATAATTCTGTACAAATTTCCTATAAAAGGTAGCTTGCTTACTTAGTGCTTGTGCTAAGGAGAATTGAATGGTCTTTCACATCTTCTTGTTCAGAAGGGTGAGAAAGGTCCTATCTCGTCAAACCTAAAAATCTGCGCAATACTCCTTGACATGTAATGATGTGTCTCAAATATTCTAACTCGTGTTGTCCAAATGAGCATTTACTTGTTTTGATAAAAAATTTATGTACCCTTAAAATCTCCAATGTTTTTCTTACATGATTGAGATGTAAATCCTGGTTAGGACTATATAACAGGATGTCATCAAAAAATACTAGTATGAATTTTCGTAGATAGCATCGAAAAATTGAATTCAAAATTGCTTGAAATGTAGATGGAGCATTGCACAGACCAAATGGCATGACGAGATATTCATAATGGCCGTTATGAGTATGGAAGGTAGTTTTAGGGACATCTGGGGGATGTACTCGTACCTGGTGGTATCCTGCAATTTGATTGAGCTTAATGAAATATGACGAACCATGTAACTCATCTAGCATATCATCGACAGTAGGAATAGGAAAATGGTCTCTAATGGTGCAAAATTGCCAGCTGCTATCTTTTTTCTTTACCAATAGAACGGGAGATGAGAAAGGGTTGGTACTTGGTTGAATAAGTCCTCAATTCAACATCTCTTGGACATGCTTTTCAATTTCATCTTTATGAAAATGTACATATCTATATGGTTGTATGTTAACAAGCTCGGTCCCCTTTTTCAAATGAATGCAATGGTCAACATCTCGCACTAGCGGTAACTGTGAAGGCTCTTTGAAAACATCAGCACAATTTTCCATGATTTGTTGTAAGCTTCGTTGCATGGAAACTCCAAATTCTTCTGTCGTTAAGTGTAGATAGACTGCAAATAATGAATGTCCTTGTCGAAATTCTTTGGAAATTGCCTTAAGTGAAGTAGCCTAGATAGGTTGATCATTAGTTCCTTGGAAATATCTAGATTGGTTCTCCCATTGGAAGTCCATGGTCAAGTGTTTCCAATCGCATACCACAACTCCTAACATTTCCAACCACTGGACCCCTAGCACTAGATCAAGGCCTGCTAACTGCAGGGAGTAAAGGGTCAACATAAAAGGAATGCCTTGTAAGAGAACTTGTACCTTCTCGAACCTGCCCTGGCACTGAAGCTTTTCTCCATTTGCCACTCGAACAGTGAATGGCTCGATTGGATTTATAAATAGTCGAAGCAAATTAGCAAGACATGTAATGATGAAATTGTGAGTTGATCCGCTATCGATCAACACTACCACATCATGAGATCCTATCTTAGCAGTCACACGCATTGTCTTTGGTGTTGTCCACCCTGTCAATGTATGAAGAGAGAAACATTGGCACCAGCAGGGTTACTTCAACTATTACCCATTCTTTGCCAAGCCTGGGATAATGTGACTCTGGACTTCATTGAAGGGCTGCCAAGATCAAATGGCAAGGACACCATTTTTGTCATCGTTGACAGGTTAAGTAAGAGTGCACATTTCCTCTCTTTGTCCCACCCTTTCACAGCAAAAATGGTAGTAGAGAAATTCGTTGAAGGGGTAGTCAAACTCCACGGCATGCCAAAATGAATTGTTAGCGATTGTGATCCAATCTTCATCAACAAGTTCTAGCAAGAATTTTTTACCATGTCAAACATTAAGGCTTAGCTTAGCTTATCATTCATAAATTGATGGCCAAACTGAGGTTGTTAATTGATGTGTGGAATAATACTTGCAATGCTTTGTTCACCAATGGCCACGAAAATGGATTGAGCACTTGCCATAGGCTGAATTTTGGTACAACACAACGTACCATGCTTCGACAGAAATGACTCCATTTCAGGCCTTATATGGCCGGTTACCTCTAACTATTCCACCATATCAAGATGGCCTTTCACCAGTACAAGAAGTAGATTATCAACTCTTAAATCAAGATGAACTGCTACAACAATTAAAAACTAATCTGTAGGTGGCAATCAATTGAATGAAACAGGCGGTTGATGTAAAACGCAGAGATGTGGTATTTGAAGAAGGTGATATGGTTTATCTGAAGCTACATCCTTATCGTCAACAAATAGTTTTTAAAGAGCTCACGAAAAACTTGAAAGCCGTTATTATGGGCCATATCCAATCCTACAAAAAATTGGCTAGGTCGCATACAAACTCATGCTTCCAGATGGGGCAAGAATCTACCCCATTTTTCATGTCTCCTTGCTCAAGAAGTACATTGGTGATTCGATTGAGGAAAGCTCACAACTTCCACCTATTACAGATGAAGGGGTTCTCATTTTAGAGCCAGAAACAATTTTTGACACACGTTGGATTAAAGAAGGGAAAAGGTTCATCGAAGAAAACTTGGTTAAATGGCATTGCCTGCCATCGGAGGATGCTACTGTAAGTATTATGCCCTAAATCCAATCAACTTTGGATATAAATACTTTTGATATATAATTAATACAATTTAATGGCAGATCTATTATTTAATTAATAGACAATTAAATAAATAATAGAGTCCATAGATTGAAATCTTCGTAATTTGTTAATCACAAGGAGTTGTGATTGTGAGATACAAATTACATTTGATTGAATCTTAAATCGTCCGTGGTCGTAAGTAATAATGAGATACGGATATCGTTATTACGGATAAACCATCATGTGTGATATTTCTTACTTGTGAAGTAAGTAACTGATCTCACAAGCTAAAGTGTGGTGACACTTAAATAAATACGTGGATGTTTTGTTATAGAACAAAATATTGGAGACCCGTCAGGAAATCTCACACGGATAACTATCTGAGTGTCAGTGGTTAATATCTAACGTTCGATAGTGGGATTGGTCCTTTTGACTCGAGGTCGTCATAGTACCTTATATGAGGATGGTTATGCTTTGACGGTATTAAAAGTTGCTCTGTCAAGGGCTGCTAATACGGCATCGTTCAGGTATGTCAATAATCATATGAAGGTTGTGAATGACCAATAGAGGATTCGTCACTTTTAGATAGTAAGAGATTATGATCTGCGTTTCATTCAATTAAGTCGATAACAAAATCATTGGCCAAGGTGTACTCATAAGTCGAAAAAGAGTTTTTGACTTATATTGACTTAATAGTGGAGTGAAACATATGTCGATAATCGAGATTGACACACTTCTATATCTCGTAATTGATCGGATCATATTAACGAAGGGATTATAGTTTCACGGTAAACGAACGAGTTTGATTTTGTTATAGCACATGACATTTTTCGTCACATGTATTGCCCCTACACATTGCTAGATGTCAATTTGGAACGGCGAGTGTGAATTGACGATAAATTAAAAGGGTTTTTTAATTAATCAATTTTAATTAGATCAAAATAATATTTCACGTTGTTAGGCATCGTGATCGGGAACCTAATGGGTTACACACAAAAGAGAATTGAAATATTGTAATTTGTCAATTAATTAATTTAACAATTGTTGAATAAATTAATTAATTAGTTTGGTTATTTATAGGCCGAATTAATTAATTGGATTAATTAATTTACAAACCGGATTTAATTAAATGGATTAATTAAATATTGGATTGGACCAGGTTAGACCCGTTTGAGCTTATATAAATACATGGCTATGATTTTCAATCCAGATGGTTTTTTCTCATAATTATTCTTGTTAGCACAAGAGGAGAAAACCCTGATAGCTGCAATCTGTTCTCTGTGTGGATCACCGTTGGAGGCTAGACAATTGGACAGCTGTGGGTGGCGAATCAAGATTGTTGGAACGAAAAGAATAGCAAAGAAGTTTGCAGATATGGAAAAGATACAATCTTTTCACAATTTCTATCTAAATACAAAGGCGATTCTGGGTGGGAATCGAAATCTGTTTTAATTTTTCGCTATGCATGTTAAGTAGATTCCCAACAGCTACATGGAAAAATGCAGAAATGTTACGCCAACAATTTCCTTCTTCGAACCTTGAGGACAAGGGTCTGCTTATTGTTACACAACAACATCATTCAGGAAGGATACCAGAGCCAACTCCCAAGTATGTAGAGTAATCTTGAGCAGCAGAATGGGTCCAAGTTGGTCAGTAGAAGAACGGGTCCAAAGTTAGTTTAGCTGTAGGAGAGTCTTTAGCATTTAGTTTTGCATTCTAGTTCATGTTTATCTATTTCTGTCATTTACTAGCCATTGCAGTTCTTTTGGCTATAAATTATAATTCAGTGGAAGTTGTTAAACTTGGCTTGTTTAAAGCCATGGATGTGAATAAACAATTATCAATCATTTATTCAATTGCATCTTGTGGTTTATCTCACCCAAAAAGAGAACTTATTTCTTTTTTTTTTTTTTTCAAAAAGAGAACTTCTTTTTTTTTTTTTTTTTTTTTTACTGCCACTGATCAGCAAGCTTCTGACTGGGACCTATCATATATATATATAATAATTTCAGCCAACGTGACAATTTCCATAGCTCACTGCTTTCCAAAAGAAAATGCTCATGAAAAGTAGCCCCTTTTACATAGATAAGAAAGTCTAGTCCTTTTTGAGCTATCGTGGAGATAAACAAAACGAAAAATACACATGCATCCAAAGAAAAAAAGGTTCAACTCGTCATAACAAGATATTAAAGCATCTTTTCTCACAACATTGTAGCACTTTGTTCTCGGTACAAAAGACAAAAAGACTAAAATATTGAATGACAGGTGCATAGACAGCTAAGACGTTTACCTAGACAAAGCCACTCTTGAACTAATGGAGCAATCTGCGCTGAATATGAAGGTGGTGGACGATTTGAAAATGAAAATAAATTAAATCCTAAGTGGAAAATTCTTGACTTAACAATTATTTCCAAGCTCCTGAACAAAGGCCTTCAAGTTCTTAGTGGAAGAACCGTCCTCCTGCATAGCTTCTCTTGCAGAATTCTTCCAATTCCTAGCGTTCTCTCTGAATTCTCGACTTTTTTCTCCACCGTCCATTATTGTTTCAATGCACCTCTTAATCTCGGCGCTCTCAACTGTGCCATCTTCTCTTGGGTTCACCCTTAGGCCTGTCCTCCACACATCTTGCATCAGCTTTGCATTAGTCCCTTGATCAGCCCATTGTGGAAACGCCACCACGGGAACACCACATGCTATACACTCCAACGTCGAATTCCATCCACAATGAGTCACGAAACACCCTAACGAATGGTGTGTTAGGACCTCAAGTTGAGAACACCATGGTACTATTTTCCCCAGTTTTTCCAATTCTTCCAAACAACTTAGCTTATCATCTTTTTCTTCTTCTGGGTTTTCGTTTACTCGTATGACCCACAAAAATGGTCGCCCACACTCAAGTAATCCTTTAGCAATCTCCTCCATTTGAACTTTTGGAAGCCTCAGGAGACTCCCAAATGACACATAAACCACAGAAGATTCAGGCTTGGAGTTCAACCACTGCACATAATCCTCTGATTTCTGAAATAGATCGCAACCAATGCCCTTATCTGATGGATCTTTACCATCCAAGAAAGCAGAGGGAATTAAGGGTCCAATCCCAATTAACTCGTAATCTTCAATTGCCTTGAGTGCATGAGGCTCTAACGCATCAAACGTATTCACAAGCACTTTTGGCCTTTTTTCTGCATCTAATATTTCTAGATGCTCCTTACATGATGAAAGAGCAAAGACTTTGTGATCGCTACTTGGAGGAAGCACAAAAGAAGGAAGATCACGTTTAGCCAGCAATGGAAGTCCAGGCAGCTGGATTGCCCAGGTGGGATCATCAGAGGACTTACTAATTTCTTCACCATAGCCATTGAAATAATAGTAGTATATATCCAGCACAGTGGTTGGTTGAATCCACAGAAGAGCACTCGGGATATGCATTTCACGTGCCACCGCTGCTGCCCATGGAAACAGTAGACTGTAAACTAGGCACGTAACTGGGCGGCCTTGCTCGGCACTGGCAAGAATCGTCTCTCTTATAGTGTTGGAACTACGGTTTCTGAACTCGATCATGTATCGATCGCGATCATCATCGGATTTGCAACCGTCATCAAACCCATCGGAGAATGCCGCAAAAGTAATGCCGTTGGTTATGTCGTCAGTAGCTTTCGCTATCCGACGTTGGGCATATAAACTTGTTGAAAAGGTGACTTCAATGCCATTCCTAATAAGGGTCTTGGCAAATGTAAGCAATGGATTGATGTGCCCTTGTGCAGGAAAAGTTACAAGAAGCACATGAGGGCTACCCATTTTCTGTGTTTGTTGTAGAAAATTCGGCGATTTAGTGATCTAGAAATGGGTACAGAGCATGGGGTTTTCTGGAACCTTATTATAGTAAGAGGACAGTGTATAGATTGATTAAAAAATTACATGATTAAACAATAACTTTATATTATTAGCTAATTATTGGTGCCTGTGACCTATTGAGTTTATTATTATATGATTATTTTGAAATTTCTCTACAGACTACAACTGGGATAAAAGTTAAAATTACCACACTGCCCTTTTTACTATGCGTGAATGTCAGTGTTGTCTGACTAGACGTGGAGGTCAAAAACTTCAAGTTTTATGAGCCTAAAAGAGGCCTAGACGTAAAAAAAAAATATATATATATATTTTCTTATTTTTAATATTACTTTAAAGTTTTAATTAGTCTAAAAATCATTTAATAATAACAATAATACGTATCAAACGTCTAAGATTATAAAATACTATATCTACTTAATAATTAATACAATTAGTCTGTTTTACAATTTTCAAAGAAAAACTTGAAACTAAAGTAAAATAAAAGACTTTTATAAGAAAAATCAAAAATATAAAAAAATTAATAAAGCTTAAGTGGCCAACTGCTTAATTTCGTGCTAATTGAAATGGCGTGGCATTTCGCCCCATCTCGAGCTTGGAAACGCACTTTAGAACACTGGCGAATAAGACTCATCTATCATTTGGTACATGTATGAATTAATAAAAATTATCAAAAATTTTAACCACTCAGTACTGTGTTGTTTGATTAGGTACAGTAGGTAGCTTAATTAATCTCAACTTGTAGTTTGATTATTGACTTAATTAGCTCTTATTTGATGCAGATTAAAAATAAAATAAAATAAAATTAATAAAGCTTATGCGATCAACTGCTTTATTTCGTGCTTATTGAAATGGTATGGCATTTCGTCCCATCTCGAACTTGGAAACGCTTTTTAGAACACTGGTGAATAAGGCTCATCTCTCATTTGGTACATGTATGAATTAATCAAAATTATCAAAAATTTAAAATACTCAGTACTGTGTTGTTTGATTAGGTACAGTAGGTAGCTTAATTTATCTCAACTTGTGGTTTGATTATTGAATTAATTAGCCCTGTTTGGTGGAGATTAAAAATAAATATTTAGCAGATTTTGATAAAAGTTAATGAAATACGTGGTTGAAAAATCGTGAATTTCATAAAATGTGGTTAAAATTAATTATTAATTTTAACTTTTTTATAAATCTAGATTTTAATTTCTATCAAATATGGCTTAATAATCATGAGATTTGAGGTAGGATTCAAATCAGTTTGATTTAATACAACTTGTAGCTTAATTAAGTTTAATCATTTAATTAATTAATCAGTTCGATTATATACGATGTGTAGCTTATTTGATTTCCTTATTCTCAAGTTGCAGTTTGATTATTGACTTAATTAATGATAATTAGATTTGAGGTAAAGTGTAGACAAATCACATTGTGACAAGCTAAAGCTGGTTTCGTCGGCAGATATTTGGGCCAATTAATCTCAACTTGCAGTTTCATTATTATTAACTTAATTAATCAAATCAGTAGGTAACAAGCATACGCCGTCACACACGTCCGATATTTGCACCTATAAAGACAGAGATATGCTAAATTACATGTTACTTAATTAATTTTCTTGAACGAGGGTCTGTCCAGACAAGGACCGATAGGGGGATGACGTCCCCATCCAGACAGGGGCCGATAGGGGGCCGCCACGTCGACTCCTATTCATATCGCATCTCTCTTTTAATATGTGTAGCCCAAGTTTTTGTATGTAGAGCCCTTGAGTGATTCTTATTTTCAAAGATTTATTTTTTAAAATTCCTTTTTAATCAAATTTCATGAAACTTATAACTTTTCAATCACATAATTCATTAAGTTTAAAATCTACTAAAATCTAATTTTTAGATGAATTGAATCGAGGCTGGCTTACTTATTGTTAATTGTCTATGTAATCAATGTGATATTTTTCCATTAACAATTAAGTACATGAAATTCTAGAAGTGTGTAAAATCAAGATACTTTAAAGAATTTCAATCCAAGAAATAAAAGTGGTAAAATGTCTATTATTTGTTATATGCAAAGAAATATATTGTGAGGAGATTTATTTTACAAAACCTACAAATTATGGAAGATATATTTCAATTAAGGGCAAGAGGCCCACTCCATTCGAGCCCCACAGTACAGTGAGGGGGCTATACATGTACAACACCTAATAGCTTCTTCCTTGAGGGCAAAAATCTACATTTATCAGTTTCCATTATAAACTCGTAAGAGTGGCAAGTGAGAGAAGCGAGCATATACACTTGCATCAACTTTGTCTACTCTTAACACATATTTCTCGGATATTCATTTATGAGCACAACAAGAACTTTTGTTCATCATGCATTCGTCATTACTTGCTAAAATATAATGTTCAAAAACTTTAATTAATGTGTCAATGTTTATGATTACACTTTTAGGAAGTCACTGTCGTTAAAATTATGAGGTCGACCACAATGTTAATCGGGTCACAATGTTCACAAAAATTTTCTAAGATCCAACATAACATTAATTGGGTCACTACGACTGTTATAATTTTTAAGTAGGGCCACGATATTAATTATGTCACAACTGTCTTAAAACAATTCTGATGCCGACCATATAATTATAGGGTCACAATGTCCACAATTTTATTTATTTATTATTATTTTTAAGGACAACTGTGATATTAACCAAGATTACTACGGGTACTAGCCCCTAATGAGGTGGCCGAGTTGGTATAATAGACGAGCGCGGAAGTTTTTGATTACGAGTTCGATTCTTCCTGCCAACACTTTCTCGGTCGAGCCTGTCGCACCGAACTTGTGTAGTCCCGTTTACCTAGTTGGCGTGGTTTGCAAGTTATTGCGTCAACCTGAGGGTTTACTCAATGTGCAATCGAAGAGTAGCAGTTGCGGATTTCCCTGTCATCCAAAAAAGATTACTGTGGGTACTAAAATATCCGACGAATCACTACGATCATTAAAATTCGATAAAGCTAACCACAATATCTATCGAGTCACAATAATTATGAAAAATTGCTAATGGCGACCAAGATATTACCCGGGTCACTATGGTTGCTGAAATTTCTGAGGCCAACCACGATATGAATCCGATTCCAAAATGGTCACTAAAATTAGTCAACAACAACTATGATATAATTGGAACCCAAAGGCCACGAATATTTGCTTCAGCCAACCAGAACAATTACCAAGTCATTACGGCTGCAAAGACCTAGAAGGCTAGAACGTCCTCGATAACATTAGAGTCAGGAATTGTGACAAAATTGTCAAGGAAACCACAATATTAATTAGGTCAGGACTTCTACAATAGGGTCAACCATAGTAATTTTGTGAAGATAACACCCTCAAGAAACCTCTAGAAGTCGTTCAATTGCATACACATTAATATTCTGAATTAAGCTAAAGTGACCTAAAATGGATGACATAAATCATGATAGTCTCTCATATGCGTGAGATTCAGATGAATAAAAAATTTAAAAAAAAATAAAAAAAGGGTGGGCTCGACCCCTTATTATGAATGTTCGGTTAGGGAGACTATCAAAACCTCCTATCAGTGTAGTATCATTATAATTTTTTACTTCCAGTATATAGTTTGTCCGATTAAACTTTCCCTAATGATGGTAGTTTCCTACTACCATATACAACTATGGAATTAAATTAGGAAGAGAAACAAATTAATTTCCATACATTGGTGTGGAAACTTGCCATAACTTCTCAACATATTTTGAAGGTTTACCTAAGAAAATATTAATTAGCGAATAATATAGGTAACTCATTAAACAAATAATGGAATTTCTAGATAATTCTATTAAATGCACATGTAATTCGGATATATATCTTATACTAAAAGTCCACAAGAAGCATCATATATGAGGTACGGAATCACCCATTACTCACAAAGAATAATATTCACTTCTCTAATTATGTGTATAGTCTGCTCACTTGAATGTTAGAGGGACTCTTCTGGGCAACTCCATCGCAGCCTCTGACGTGTATTATTTTGCGGGTCAATATCAGGATCAATAACATCCGAAGATTCACGTATATTTTGACTTTTGGCAATTTTTTACGTCTACAATTTTATTGATAAGAGTTAATAATCCAAATGGTCACTGAACTTTATAAAACATATTTAAGGGGTCACTGAATTTTAAAAATCACTCAAGTCATCACTGAAATTTGTAAAAGATTTTTACGGGATCACTGAATTTTACAAAAAAATTTCACAGGGTCACTGAACTTTAAAAATTATCTCATTCATTACTGAATTTTACAAAAACTTTTCCAAACTGAACGGTGACCTCTGGGAAAGTTTTTCTAAAGTTTAGTGATTTCGAGGAAATCTTTTGAAAAGTTCGATAATGAATGGAGTGATTTTTTATGTTCAGTGACCTCGTGAAAACTTTTTACAAAATTTAGTGATGACTTAAGTGATTTTTAAAATTTAGTGATTCGATGAGAACTTTTTGTAAAGTTCAGTGACCATTTGGATTATTAACCCTTATTGACACAATGCATAATTTCAGTTAATGCCAATGCACTAATTTTGAAAAGCCCCGCTACTTAGGTTTTAAATTAATGGGAATCATATGTTATTTAAATATGACGTGTGTTAACTTAAATTAGTATTTTTATTAATAATGATCTTTATAATTATTTATGATTGATAAATATAGAATTATGCATGTGCATTTAGTGTCGAGATTTAATTATGTATGTCACATCCTCTCAAACGTCTCCTTTATTTTGAAGGCAGTTACTACTTTGAAATGAAAACATTTTGTATGTCACAAGTTCTCCTGCGGTCATGCAGTAAAATTGAAGGATCACGCAATGACATTAGAACTATGGGAACCCCTATAACAATAGAGCTACGTATTCATTTATTTGTCCAACATTTGCCTAAGAATTAGAGAAATAGTTTACATACATGAATTATAGTTTATTCTATCCACACACACTCGATTTATATGTTTGAAAGATTTCTCGACGAAGATAGGTGGAACGCTAGATATTCGTGACTTTGATGTCATATTGAA